GGTTCAGCGTCTTTTTATTGCGGGTGGTATTTCGGTCGTCTTCCTTGTGTACTCGTACCGGTTCCTGCGCTCTGATGCAAGGTTGAAGTAATTAATATCTGTCAAAAATCGCTACCAGAGCCACCTCCTTTTCCTTGACCATCAACACGCGCCCCAGGGTCTGAGCTCCGGCATCAGCGGAGGGAAGTGAAAGGGAGGAAAAGCCGTAAGCTCACATAGAGGGGTTGGGAGGAGGAGAGGAAAGCTTTATTAGGGATGAATCCGCAGCCTCGAGAAACAGGAGGTTCTGGTGTTCGAAAAGAGTATTTTCAAAATGATTCCTGGTGCTCCCATCACCTTCAGTTGCGAGCAGCGTGATAAAGGCATTAAAACGGCCCTTACAACCTAGGGATAACTGAAGGCTGTAGGAAGCCGTCGGCTGGCTTCCTCAAATTCATAATCTTCGGTTTTCTAACTCAGCTCAGCGTACCCCGAGGTGCGATCGCGATAGAAACGCCGAAGCCTCTTCCCGCCCAGGACTGTCTGGCTCTGCCTGAGCAAAGCTCTACTAACGTCCAGCTTCTGCCTCCAGCTCAGGCAGTTGCGAGCCAGGTCTGGACTCATTCCTGATCTCTGACTTTTGTGGTGCCGGGAGAGCTGGAATCTGGCTGGCAAGGTCCGGTCTGAGTGATGAATTCATCGTTCGCTCTGGAAGTTTGGATGGGAACTGGAGTTGCTTGGTGACTTTGAGGGAAAGCGTACATTTAGGAACTGTAATCATTTCAAATATAGCCTCGTAATTGCCATGTGGACACGTTTTTCATTCCTGCCAGCAAACCAGTTCAGCGCAGACTTTCCTGCTTGGATTTTCAGGATTTCAGTTCTCGTCTAAATCAGGGTATTGGTGTGGATCAGGGCTTTGAGGACGGAATTACTGCTGGCTGCCCCTCTCGAACCCTGCTAGGGGACAAGTGTTAGAACTTCCCAGCCGTTTGTTTGGGTCCTTGGAAGTTAAATAGAAAGAGTGAAGTGTGGTGGTTTCTCCAGACCCAAAAGCTTGCAACCTGGCCCTTTGAAACCGGGGTGGGGGGGTTTGTAAGTGTCAGCCCCAGTGTTTCTTTTGTCCCAAAACAAAACACCCTCCTGCCAGCCCCCTTGGGTGTCATCCAAGGTGGCAGTTAAATTAAAGTAGGGTCATCTGAGATCAAAGTTGCTGCTGCCAACAGCAGTAACAATGAAGGGAAGAGAGGTTTTGTTTCCTTCAAAAAAGACTGAAAAAGTGCATTTACCTTACACTCTTTTGAACCTGGGTTTCCAGCGGTTTATAGCAGTTCTTTCAAGCTGCAGGAGGAAATTCCAGCTGCTGTGCTCTTAGGCTGTTAATTTTGTTAAGCCTTTGTCAACCTTTTTTTCCTTTCTTTTTTTTTTTTTCCTTTTCTTGCAGATTATAGTACCTATAGCCAAGCTGCAGCTCAGCAGGGGTAAGTAGCATTATGGTCTTATCCTCTCTGTTTTAAAAAGATGTAATGTAAGTATATAATAATTGTGGTTTAGTCTTAACTCAAGTATGTTCGTAAATCCTGTGGTTTTCCTTTAGCTTTTAGATTTTGTATTGCCATAGTATTTCAGCAGAAATCACTTGGATATGTGAAAGCTGTCTTGTGATACGTGTTTTGCGCAAGTCAGAAACACGGCGATGCGTTATAAATGTCTTTAAATTCATTTTACAGCTACAGCGCGTATGCACCTCAGCCAGCTCAAGGATATGCACAGACCACCCAGGTAAAACATGGGACGGGTTTATAGATGCTGCTGAATCACGTGTCTTCCAGTAAACTACACGGGGCTCTGCCAGCCACGAAAAACGCTGAGCGGCAACGTCAAAATCTGTCATTAGAAGTTGTCTCGTAGCTTCCCACACAGCCCAAACTGCTTTCTTAAAGTGAAAACAACCTAAACGTCAAGGAGCCTCAACAGTCCCCTCCTTCGTTAATACATCCGAGCCTAAGGTGGTGGTTGTCGAGAGGGTTATAAAAGCCCGATTCGCGGTGTACGTTTGACACCACCGTGTTGGTGGGTGTTTTACTCAGCGGTGTAGGAGAGAAAAACCTAAAAAAAAAATAGAAAGGGGGAGGAAATTGCCGTTTGTGAGATTGCAGCAGTTGGTCAAAGTAGGAGGAGGGAATAGACCTTTTTCATGGAGGTATTGTTGCTAAAGCTGTTAATACTCTTAGTTGGCTAGACTGCAAGATGACGATGATCTTTAAGAGATTAATTAAACAACGCTTATTTTTAATCCTTAGAATACAGGTTACTAAAAACATTGGTATACACACTCCAAGTATGTTTTCAAAGGTAAACTTTTGTCCTCAAAAAGTAGTGTAGATTAATTTTACCCCGCCTCTCCAGAGAGGTTTTTGAAGGGAAAATCCTGCCGCCCAAGAGTATGTCTGTGTTACGGAGATAAAAACCACCACATTGTCACGTTGGAGCGTTAGTGAGCAGCTTTAAATCGGTTAATTCTGGTTGTGGCAGCAGCTTGGCTTTGGTGCTGCAGGGCTGAGCGGGAGCTACCTTCCTGTGCCTGCTCAGGCTACCTGTGCCGCGCTGCCTGCTGCTGCCTGCGCTAGCCGGTCCAAGGCAGGCGAGGCTGCGTGAACACTGCACTCGCTTGTTCCTGCGGCAGGGTAAGAAGGCCCCTTTGTGAAAAATACCGGTGTTAGAGGAGGAGGACAGGTTCAGTCTTGGCATTTGGGTCGGCTTAAATGAAGGTGAGGGTAACTTTTGTTTTGAATAAGTATGTTTTGAATAATATTGAGACCGAACAACTGCAAGAACTGCTACCAAATGTGCAGGTTACGTGGAAGGACGAGTGTGAGCGGACTGGCAAGAGTATGAACAGAAGGCCTCAGCAACATCCTCTAGTGTGCGACTAAAACAATTAACCGACTAAACTCAGCTGCAGGCAAATAGCCACGGGAGGTTTGCAGCGTTTCCTGCCTCTCGATGTAGTGAGCTTCCGCAGACGGTGACATGTTCAGTCTGGTCAAGGCTTTTCTACTCTTGGTTAAGATCTGGGGCTTGAGTTCAGGGAGGCTGGCTCACGAGTAACACAGGCGTAGATCCCAAAAGGCGTTTAAGTTCCGGGCTTCCACAGGAGTCAGTAAATCCCTTTGAGAATCTGGACGTTAAGGCTGTCTTCGTGTCGCTTCTTGAGCTGTAACTGGAGTTTTATCCTAACCCAAGCTGCTGGCCGCACAAAGCTGTTGGAAGTTGGCTGGTGCCCGAAGGTTGAGCCGGCTGGTCGGTGGCGCGGGGCTGAGGTAGCTGTTCAGCTGGTAAAACCGCAGTTACCAGCAGCTCTGCGCTAATCCAGCCACGCTGCGCCGCCGGTCGGCTCGCCACGGCTGAGGAGTTGCTTTGCGGTGCTGTCTTCAGGATTGAGCCAGACGATGGGCAGAAGGGGTCCTTTAGTGATAGTCTAGACTTGAAAATGAGCTCCGGGGGATGTGCGAGTTGAGAGCTGATCTCTCGCTGAATGCAAAGGCACCGGGACGGCGGCAGCTGTTACCGGGATGGTTTGGTGATGGCAAGCCCTTGGATGCTCCTGCTGATCCCGTCCTTGGATGCCTACATAAACTCCTATTTTTCAAACTGTTGGCCAGTGGACATAAAGAATATTCAGAATAATTTCACTGAAACCTTAAATAGGTTTCTTCTAGTGAACACTGAAGCAGTTTTACGCTGAAGTAACTGACTTGTTTTACTTCGTGCAGTTCTGCCCTCTGAGTAGTCCCACTCCCCGTGTTTCAGGTGAGCCCTCGGGAGGTACCTGTGAGCGTTGATGGGTGCCCAGGCAATTATGAGGAGCTGGATGCTTTCGTGTGTTGCTTTACCTAGAGCAGAGGTGTGTTGTGAAAACGTAAGAGGCTGCCCCTCCGGTCCTGGCATTGAAAAACTGCGTTTGTAACTTCATTACAGATCTGAACGGAAATTTGCAGTAGCACCCAAACTTTCACAGTAGCCTTGGCTTGACTCTGATTGCTTTCAGTACATCAGGTAACACAGATCCCCCAGTCTGTGTACATCACTGAAACAGTCTGTGTGTGTCTCTGCAACGCCTGTGAGTCGCTTCTGTTCGTGAATTAAATTTGTATCATTTTTGGAGCAGACATATGGGCAACAGAGTTACGGAACCTACGGACAACCCACCGACGTCAGCTACACACAGCCCCAGACGACTGCGACGTACGGGCAGACTGCGTATGCAACGTCCTACGGGCAGCCTCCTACCGGTAAGAGCCCCCGTGCCTGCAGGGCTTGCCTTATCCTGGGGAGAGAGTTGAGCTCAAGTCTGCCTCGGGGAACTCCGGCCCAAACCGTACTGAATTCCTCTGGGCGGCTCCGATGTAGAAAGGGCTTCCTTCCTCAAGAGCCTGCCTTGAGCGAAGGGCAGCTTAAAACGATGCGAAGACGCGGGTGGGCTGAGAAGGAGTAAGTAAACATGCCCGTTTAATTTTTCAGGGAACGTTTTGGGTGCTGGGTCATGCTGTGGAACTAAGCGTGGCTGCAGAGTGGACTGTGCCTAGAGCAAAGCAAACGGGAGCGGCGCGGCAGCGCTCCCTGGGAGCGTGTGCTCTGGCTGCTCTTCAGAACCCGCGGCCGCAGCACTTCGGTTGCCTGAAAATCAAATCAGGGGAAGTGATGTATGCCTGTTCTGATAGCGTACCCTCTACTTTTTGTCTTGTGCTTCCCACAGTAGAAGGGACCAGTACAGGTTTGACTATCCTGCTCACTCTTGCATGGAAAAATGCTGTCTTGTCCTGTCTGAACTTGTGGTGTTAACCCTTTAGGTGTCACTTGGTTTTAGCGCTAAAAACGTCCAGCATCAGAGCGCGCGCGCGCGATGACAGTAAGAGTTTGCTAGGCTGCAGTGGCGTTTGCCATCTCCACCTCTCTGTAAAGTCTCTGAGTGGCGTACTGTATGGATAAAATTTCCTGAGCGCTAACGACAGCCGTGCCGAGACGTTTCGGGTGAATCTAACCCCATTGTCCTGCCGTTTCCTAAAGGGTAAACAGCCTGGTTAGACACGTCCAGACTTCCTGACCGCCACCTTTGCATGTTCCATGTTGCCTTTGGATTTCCAGTGCAGACGCATACGTCACGTGTTCGTTAACGCGCTGTGAACTATTCCAACGTGTGCTCTTTGAACTGGAGTTTTGTACGTACGAGTGTCTTCATGTCTGGAAGAAACTATTGAGACGTCGTTCAGTTCTGGTATATTTGGACTGAATAGTCAGGAGACTTTGCAAAAGAAAGCAAATTTTCCTCCAGGTAGTGCCTTGGGTACCGTTTTCTGCAGATTCATCCTTTGCTATGAGAGACATTGTAAAAATCTGTTAGAGTGGGAGCTTTCTTAAATAATTCCCAAAGCAAGGGAATACCGGGACAGACAGGCGAGGGGGGTATCTGGCCGCAGAAGCCATCGAGGAATGCTTCGTAAGGAAGAGGGGGAGGGGAAATGTTAACCTATAGTCTATCCAGTTGTACGGCGCTGAAAATATTTAACGTCTTTACATGGATAAGGAAAATTTCTGCCTGGCGGTTAGCGCATGTCCTGCAGAACGAGAGCCAGTACCCTTTAGCCAGTGTCGCTGCGGCTTATCTACAGGGTTTTTTTCCTTTCATTTAAAAGTATATGGACATAAATTGGCAGCAAAAAGGATTTGCGGACTTCCAAAATCCCTTTCTTAGAAATGTTTGAGTCCCTTAATCCTTACTGTGGACTCCAGTCCTGCAGGGGTCACAGGAAGCTGCGCTGTTTATGGTTTTGCTTGTCCCTTAGGAGTATATTTGCTGGAGGAATAATAATAATTGGTCACCTTTTCTGCACAGCTTCTTTTTTTTAGGCAAAAAGCTTCATTTTCTTTTTATCCCCCCCCCAAAAAAAAAGAAAACTCAGGAAGTGGTCAAATGAAAGATCACATCGGGCCTTCAAGAAGTACGATTTGCCCCAATCCGCGTGGCGCTGGTCTGTGGCAGAACTGTTGATGTTATTCTCCAGGCAGAGTGCCAGGTTGTATTTATTCTTCCTACACCTGCCTCTCCTTCAGGAGCCAGAGCTGTGCAAATGAGACTGATCGTGCTTAAAGCCTGTCTCCCTCTCTCGGTCTCTGCCTTTCGTACTAAATAAAGCCTGGGGTGTTGCCTGGGGCGTACATCTTTATGCCCTAAGAGACGTGCAATTTTTACGGTTGAATCTCAATTTATTTTTCCTAGGCATCGCCTTTTTTGTAGCAGAGGGATGTCTGCAATTACTTAAAAGCAAAGTGCCTTTTTTTGTCTTTAACAGCCTGTTTTTCGGGTGAGATGCCGTTGTGGTCAGGGAAATTCAAATCCTGTGCAGATACACCCTCTCGGGACGCTGCAGGGACGGCAGAGACGGTTCCTCTGCATCGCCTCGGAGCCTCAGATGAGGGCTGTTGTAGCCTGCCCGGGGGCCTTTCCGTCCCAAGCGCTCTGCCGTCCAGCCTTGCGCTGGCTCCTGGGCCGCCCGAGGCATGAGGTGCTGCCCAGGTTGCGCTTCTTCCCTCCCCGGGGCTGTCGGAGAAGGCGTCTTGGGGTCGCCCTGTCGCTTTGTTAACGGAGAAGGGGGGTTCGGGAGCCCGCGGGCTCCTCTGCAGCTCCCCGGGTGCCAGCTGGGTTAGGGGATTAATCGCCACCGTCGGATCTGTGGTCGTGGTTTGTTCGCTGCGGCGTGTAGGCATGAATTGCAAGGGTAAATAAAGAGCTGCGTCTGTTAGGGTTATCGGCTTTCTGACAATGCTGTTTGGGGGCAAAGGCATCATTTCAGACGTTCAAGTGTGAATCTCCTTTAAGTAGCTAAGTGGGAATTACTCTCTAAGGACAGCCAGCCCCCACTTCTCTTTTTACCTGTGAAATTCAGTGTTATGTATATTTTAAGTTTCTAATGTATTTAGAATTTGAAAGGAGCGCACCCGTAGCTCTCTTGGCTACCGCAGTAATCTGTGGTACCAAAATAGAGCAGAGAGAGGGTAGCCTGTGCGTCCTCTTCTCCAGACCCTCACCGGTAGAAGCCACCAGCATGCCAAAGAGGAGTCGGCTCTCTCTGGGCACGCAGACCCCGTGGGTAGCTTTTAATACTGTTTGCATCGGAGAGAAGCCTTCAAAAACTGCTGCTAGCTGACGTGAAGCCTGCTTATTTCAGAATAAATCTCTTTGAATCCAGTATTTTCAGCTGGTGTTTTCTGAGGACCAAATCCTGCAAGCTTCCCCTCCGCCTGAAGAATTCCTAGACTTCAATAAGGGTTTTGTTTGCAGGCTTGGATACTTTGAGAGGAAACTGAGCCACGTAACTGGACTTCTTAAGCAGATGATCAAAGTTCTTCTGTTACCTTTTCCTTACAGTAGCTGTTCTGCAGACTCGCCGCTTATCTTGCTAACTGGTGGGGGGAGGAGAGAGAAGTGATGTAATGCAAATGCCCCCCTCAAAAATACGGCTCTTGAGGATTTTCAGAGTATCTAAACTGAGTTTGAAATGAAAATTTAGAGCGGTGGGATGTTAAATCACTGCCTTTTCTTTGGTACAAACCCTTCCAGCTGAGCACGCTTGCACAAGGGAAATGCTCCTTCCAGAGCTGAAGCGTTAAAATTCAGGATTGGTTTTTTTTCCTCCCTTTTATTCTGTTGACTGTGCAGAGCCAGGTGTTAGCAAACCTGCTCGCTTGCTTGATTGGAGAGGTTAGTGCTGCCAGTAAGAGTACCGAGAAAGGGGGCCCAGATGTGGGAGGACCAGCCTGTGGCTCCGAGTCTGACGCGAACAGCCGAGGGCAAGGCTGTGGCCTTACTGCAGACTGTACTTACGCAAACAGCAGGCTTTTTTAGTAAGTGGTCAGGCTTCGGGCAGTTCAAATAAGGATTCCTTTAACTTCTGGTGTCGGTGCTCTCTGTGGAAAAGCTGCGGTGGCTGACATTTAAGTGTTTGGGCTGTATAAATTTGCCCGAGGCTCTAAAAATCACGCTCATTTTATCCTGTTCGGCATCGTCCCGTTCACCCCGCTCAGCAACGCTCAGAGCAGGACTTTGCTTTTCAGACGACTTACCAGCGAAAAGGAATAATGGCGATGAAAACGGATTTGCTAGTGATCGGCGCGAGCTATTTCCTGGTGGGAGACGAGCTTACCGTCTCGCTTTCGTGTTTCCCGGTGTGGGAGCCAGCCTGTGGAGTTCAGC